GACGACCCTAAGGAAAAACCTAACTGGAACTCCTCATGAGCCCTATCCAGCGGAAGTCCCACATTTGGATCATCCTGGTAGCGCTCTCAGAGTCGGTCCCACGGCAAAACCCGACCGGAATCCCCAAAGGATATCTCCAGCGGAAGTCCAAACCACACACATCTACTGGCCAGAGATCGCAGATATAACACACAGCATGCTTCAAGCATGTCACACAATCAAGCAATAATGCATGAACATACATATTCATACAATGTCAAAAATCACAAAATCCAACCACAACCTTCCACTAGGTGTGGTGGAGTACACAAGGGAATAAAACCCAAGTTCCAAAGGTTTACCTCAATTCCAAAAGCAATGCTCCCCAACGTTAGCTCTAAGCTCAATCCACCTCTATTGAATCCGTGAGAGGTAACCTACAATGATCATACAACAATGATCATCAATAGTTTGATCACAAGCCCCAACAATCACACAACACACAATCATTCTCACATTCCAATCCAATTTCCATCAAACTATCTCCATATGGCTAATGATCATCTTGTCACAAACCAAGGGATTTCCCATTGTTCTATCATATTTCTTTTTCATTCAACATTCACATTAAATTCCCCAACAACCTACACCTAATTTTCACCAACCATATTTAAGACCCCAATCACAATTCTCCTATAAATTTCACTAAGTTACAAAACTTTGTCACCATAAATATTATTAATTCAATCTCATTCATTTATCATTCTAAGAACTTATTTCCAAAGAGACAATACCATTAATGTTCTCCAACTACATCAACCAATATACTCACATTCAATGTTCATCAATTTTATGATCTCTCAAATAACTCAATGAAAGTGTAGAAACTTACCACTAAGAGCTTCCCAAGGTCCAACCAAGTGACCTCCAAGCTCCCAAGCACTTGAAACAACCCACAATGATCACTCTTCCTCAAATTTTCGTGGCGAAAGAGGCCAAGGATCTCCTCACACCTCACTTTTAAGGAAAAATCATAACTAGAAAGTTGCTTACTAGGTGTTTTGGATGAAGTTTGATGTTCACACTTTTCTCTCACAAGGTCTCTAGCTCAAGATGGAATTTCAAGCTATTCCAAGCCCCTAACAATGGTGATGCTCGACGGTGAGGGAGAAGAGAGGAGAGAGAGTGAGATAGAAATCTTATTTCTTAAGCCTTTAAGTCATTTAAGTCACTTAAAGTGGGACCCACATGTCAATTAACTTTCTTAAATCACCCAATTTAACCCACAAATTCATAACCCGTGTATTTTTCTCGTTCACGTCATATTTTTACTTCCTAGAAATACTGATCATATTCTCACGCTTATCGGTACAATTATACCACAGAATTTTACATCGGAAAAATTACTATATATCAAATTTTCCGAAACTTGCCTATCCACTCGATTTTTTATCCTGAATTCATTTCCGGCATTTTTTTTACCATTTGAGATCTTCTACTCAATTTTTTTATGACTAAGAGGACGTGTTTGGTAAATTACCATTTTGCCCTTTCTATGTATTTTGGCTCTAATTTTTGAATTTTCACTAATCCTACCCTTTTAATCAACATTATCACATATAATTATACATTTTGAAATACGAGGTGTTATAAACATCATCTTATTTTCAGGAGATAAGATACTACAGCTTGTCTCGTTAGTCAGGTTTAACGGGGAATGGTTTTTTTTTTTAAGTTTCTACAACTTGTCTATATTTTTTTAAGATCCTTTACCTCCCCTCTCCCATAGTAGAGATATAAATGGGTTGGCTTTGGGGTTAAGGATGAAGGATCCATACGCGAATCCAATAAGAAATATATGTTCAATCTATTTGTTTCTGTCTCTATGTCAATTTGGTTGTGCCTTTTCTCAGTTGTACCTGAACCCAAATAATTGATTTTAATATTATAAAAAGAAAAAAATAGTTCATCATTGTTATTTTTATATTCGTATGTGTATTTTTTATTTTTTATTATTACTATTCAGTATCGCTTTAGAATTTATTTCTTCATTTTTTATTATTACTATTCAGTATCGCTTTAGAATTTATTTCTTCATTTTTATTATTACTAATGGATGTGAAATCATCGTTGTTGTCTTGCAGGAATTTAAGCCACAATTTCTTAAATGGACCCATTGGTGATGTATTTACTGGCTTAAGATAATCTCAATTAAATGTATGTCTTCGTCTTCTGGATCCTTTAGTATTGCATTTGAATTTAAATTAAATGAATAAGTGACTCAACTTGTCGATATTAGACACATCACACAAAGATGTTACCAACCACCACATGATGTGCCCCTGTTTCATTTTCGACCAATGTATATGTCCTTCTTCCCTTGATATAATATTTCTAACCTCTTATATATTTTGTATTAAACAAATTAAGGAATTAATATATTCTCCTTTTGATGCAGATGTAATGTTATTTCGTTCTTGGTATTCTTGGCTCCAATGTAAGTATTTATATCTATCTATCAACTCTTGTTACTTCCACTTAATTGATGAGGTTCAAAAAAAGAAATAGAGATTCACAGATTTTAGTTAATATTAATTATTAATAAAATTATATATTTTACCTTCCTTGAATATTGTCGATCCACATTTTACTGAATATACAAGAAGAAATTGACAGGGGGTTTTAATCATTGCCTTAAGTGGTGGCACTGTTCAGTTTCATGCTTTGGTTATACTATGCTTTACTCAAAAAAGACATTGGTCTCCTCGTTACCATTAACTCATTTGGATGTGTGGTAGAGATCATTTACATCATCTTCTGTGAGTGTCTTTGCATCTCCACTTAGCATTGTGGTACGTGAAAACCCCTAGTCATTGTGCTCAAAAATGAGGACCTTTTTATTTTTGGTAACGATTCCTCAATGCATTGTGCTCTTTTACAAATTTGCCACTTAATATTCATTCTTTTTGTTTAGATACATGCAGGCATTAGAGCAGTCTTTGGATTTAGGAAAATCTATTGCCTTTTCTGATGGTGGCTAGGCTCATACTACCTTAAATGGTGACTAGGGTTAGTCGTACTAAAAGAATATAGCTCAACTATTTGTAAATTTTAAGTGATTTATTTTTAGTTAAAATAATCTTTAGTGTTTGTAAGTTCTAAGTCTTATCAATGTTAGATACTTCAGGAGATAAAACAAATCATTGTCGAAGTTACCTTTAATTGTATTTATATCCATTTCCCTTAAAATTTTATTCCTTTTATTGGTTTTTAATTCTATGAATTCAGCCACAATGTGGTTGTAATTTTTTTTTTAAAAATAATCATTAAAATAGCCATGTTTAAATCGTGGTAAATATAATCAATAAACGTAGCTAAACGAATGCTGCCACACTCAAATATAATGTGGCCAAGTAAAGCAGTAAATGTGGCTAAAATAATGCAACGCCACGATTAGCCACGTTGACAAAAAGTGTGATTGCTTTCATTAGCCACATTTTTAAAGCAATTTAGCCACGTTTATAAACGTGCTAAACACTGATATTTTTATAGTGTGTGGGTATGAGAATTCTGGACCCTTTGTGCCTCCTATAAAAGCCTAAGCTCAAGTCTGATACTATCGTATTAGGATTAGTATATTAGATTAATGTTCTTCTTTGATTATATCATATCCTTATTTGAATTGCCCCTTATTAAGTCATATACTAAATGAGCCTTGTATATCAATTGCAATTTTTGTAATAACAATGTTGATTTTTCGGTTCACACAATTTACTTTTTCTTGTACATTCATTTGTAATTCTTCGATTCTTCTAGGCTTACCCTCGACTAATAACTTTGGAAATCCCATATAGACCATAACAATCATATTTTTGAATTTTAGTGTAATTCTTGTTCTTTTGTTTGATATATGCGTCCAATACTTGTTCTTATTTTTTTCCCTCACCACCTTAGGCTCACCTCAAACTTTGCAAATCCCTTTCATCGAATGGAGCGAAGAGAGACTAGTGACATTAAATAACATTGACTTGCAATGGTGAAGTCACAAAGGAATTAGAGTGGTTGATGGTTGGAGATGTCCCGATGATTTGATATATCCTATATCAAATATATCCAAAAATAATATATTTATATTATCTTTATCTTTATAATTATTTCTTTTCATATTCTTATTTTCTCTTTTATAAAGAAAGTTATATATTAATACTACCTCTACCTACTCTCCCTATACTGAATTAGGTTTATAATTATCCGAGTTCAGCCTTTCAATATTATTTTTATTACTTTTTATGCATAAAAAATTTAATTTTTTTTTTCAAATCTTATTATGTATTGTTGATTTGCTCCTTCTCATAAAATTTTCTATTATTGGTTAAATCAATGTTAATAAGGGAGAAAAACAAAATTGGAGTCCGTGTCTTGCATGATTGGTATGTTGACTATGTTCTGCATAATAGAGTTGAGAGTAAGACAAGCCAACCATCCATGCTAATCTATTCATAATATTTTATTTTATTTTCTTTATACGGGACCACCAAGCAGATGTGGTCCAAATTATATCAACAATGACATGGTGGAAAACCTGTCAAGTTTCCAATGTTTTTTAGCTTTTACTCAACCGGAAAAGTTGACCAAAATGCAAGAAAACAAAAGGGTTAATACTTACTAGGTTTCTTTTATTAAGATATTTTCATATCAATAAGCACATAAGAACAATATGATTAAATTTGAATTCAATGTTAGGCAATGCAACGGTTATTAACATACCAAAATAAGCTAATGTAAACACACCTTTAACACTTCTCATCCAATATGAGAAAAATATAAACTAGGATCATTAGAGCTTCAAGTTCTATATTACGGAGTCATTCAACCCTCGCCTAAAAAAAATAAAATAAAAAATAACAAGTTTGAGGGTGAAGATTGAGTTCCTAAGAAAGGAACAAAAGTTATTTTTGAAGAAAAATGGAAGAAAGAAAAACATTTCAATCCTGAGAAGAAGAAGAAGAAAAATCATTAAAATTTTCCAAAGAGAAGAAAAAGATATAAAAGATGGGTATAAAAAGATACTTAAAGACACTAGAATACATTATTAATTATTTCTAGCTAGATGCCACTCAAACATTTTGCCATTTCATTGCTAGACTAGAGAGTGCCAAATTAGAGGAACCATGTTCACTAAGAGCAGCAGCAGCACCATCACTCAATTCTTTGATTCTTTTATTCATTTCCAAGCTTTCATGTCCTTCCATGACTCTCTTAATAACATTGGCAATTTCCTCTCCTTTTACTATGCCACTTTCATCAACCTTTGGCCTCACAGCCACTTTGAGCACATCTGTGAGCAATACAGCATTCATTCTTTGCTCAGCAAACAGTGGCCAAGCAATCATGGGCACCCCATGAACCACACTCTCAAGAGTTGAGCTCCAACCACAATGACTCAAGAATCCACCAGTGGAACCATGACCAAGGACTTCAATTTGTGGTGCCCATGATGGAACCACTAAGCCTTGACCTTTGGTTCTGTCCAAAAAACCTTGTGGTAAATAATGTAGTGGGTTCTCCTTTTGTCCTCTAAAATAAGCAGAACTAGCTGATTCATTTGGAGCTCTCACAACCCACAAAAACTTGTGGCCACTAAGTTCTAATCCATAGGCTATCTCATTGAATTGGTCATGAGGGAGTGTTCCACCACTCCCAAAAGCCACATACAAAACAGAATTTGGTGGTTGATTGTCCAACCATCTTAAACACACTGACTCATTTACCTTATTACTTGACTCATTTTGAATGATGGGTCCAATAGGATATACACAAGGACCATCACTATTGGCTTCTTTCTCTTGCATAGCTCTTATAACCTCTGCTTCCAAATCTGTGAAGCTATTCACTATGATACCATCAACCAACAAGAGTGCTTGACACACATCAAGATATGATCTATATGTTTGACTTGATCTTTCATTAAGAACTGGATCTGGAAGATCTTTGATCTTGAAGGGTATAACACAACCCGGAACATTCACAGTTTTTGCTAAGTCCAAGGACTCGGTGGAAAAAACAGTCTCATCAAGCTTGGGAAGAGTGAGATTGAATGAGAGTGTTGTAGCTCCTGAGGAAAAGAAAACATAAGACAAGAGGTTGAATTGCTTAGCAAGTTCAAGTGCATCGGTTGAAAATATGCTGAACAGTAAAGCAACTAGGTGAGTGTGGGAATTTAATGAGCTTAATGCTTCATGTAGCAATGGAAGAGAGTGTTTCACAATGAGTTTCATGTTTGTTGCTGGTGAAACATTCTGGGGAAGGTCTTCAATTTTCACTTGGGGAAGAATAGTGAAGTCTATGTTTTGTGGTAGAGACTCTAGTAATGATTTCATGGAAGGAGTGGGAGAATCAAGTGTGGGAATGAGTAATGTGACATGGAATTCATGGTGTTGAAGAACTAGCCTCTTTGCAAACTCAGCTAGTGGGATCAAATGGCTCAATCCAGGGGAAGGAACCATTGCAATGCAGGGCTTTTTATCCATGTTATATATGATATGAAATTATGAATATGAAACTTGAGACCCAGATTACAGAAAAAGGATATTTTGTGAGTGAAGATGGTTTATTTTCTTGAAGATGGTTTTATAATAAAGTGAAGGCCTTTCCCTCCAAGTTATTCCACTAACCTGTTATTTATTTATTATTTTTTTATGGTCTAAAGTTAAAAAAAACTTAAAAAAGTTAAAAATTGTTTGGTAATTATATAAATTTTTTAGTTCAAAAATACATATTTTACGAAAATTTTGTTTCTCTATTTCTATTGCTTTTTATTTAAAAAAAAAACACACAATTTAAGAAAAGTTAATAAGAGCTTAAAAAAAAATTATCCTATAAGCTTTTGGCTTTTAATATTTTTTATTATATAAAAAATATTATTTTTTAAAAAAAATTAAATTTTTTTTTGACATAACTTTTACTTATAATTATCTCTTAAATAAAATAAAATAAAATAAAATAAAATAAAAAAACCCAAAGAGTAGTAGGAAAGTGATGTAAGGGCTTGCGTAACTTGTTTTGTTACTTTCAAAAACCTACTTTAAAAGTTGAAACATTAATTATGCTGACATACATTAATCGATTGTAGGACCATGCAATTGAATATACCATAACACTAATTAAAGTGTCACTGTTTCACAACTTATTTTTCTAAATGTTACGTCAATAATATAATTTTTCAATATGTCATGGGGCAAGTTTGCTACAGTGCCCAAGAAACTTGGTAGCCAATGATTTCGTTACACGTGGCACATTTTGGCAGGAAAAGTTGACTGTCACGTGTCCAAGTTCGCTACGTGGTAGGCAATGATTTCGTGACATGTGGCACCCTTTTGCAGAAAAAACTGACTGGACGAAGTTCGCTACCAGGGGTAGCGAACTTGGTGTGCTAGGTGGCACAATCTCATTGCCCGATCAGAATTAATGTTCCAATCACAATAAAAAAAATAGAAAAAGAAGGAAAATGACAATTAATTGTATTAATGTCTTAATCACAATTAATGTATCAATCACCAATCACAATTAATGTATCAATCACAATTAATTTTGATCGGTACATTAATTGTTTGTGATATCATTATTACAATTCGGTACATTAATTGTTTGTGATATCATTATTACAATTCGAATGATGTTTGTGAGAGATAAAATATGTCAAACGAGGTGTTGTTTGGTAGATCTCGAAAAGTTATATGTAATAAAATAAATAATATCTGATTTGGATATCTGAATCAAAAATTATGGCCCTCCGAAGTGATTGGTGATTGGTACATTAATTGTGATTGGTATAATCAAAAGTTAATCTTATTTGTACGTTCATTATAATTGACACATTAATTGTGATTGCTAATTGGCACATTAATTTTGATTGACACATTAATTAAATTGTCGTTTTCCTTTATTTTCTGTGTTTTATTGTGATTGATACATTAATTTTGATTGTGTCGCGTGGCACCTAGTTTGCTTGGACCTTCAGCGAACTTGGTGCATGTCAGACACGTGGCACACCTAGTTCGCTGCATGTGGCAGCGAACTTCTCCAATGTGTCAGCATTTATTGCAACATAGTTGGCTATTGTGAGTAGCGAACTTGTTGTCCACCAGAAACGTGCCACATCAGCAAACCAAGTTCGCTGGGCGCTGTAGCAAACTTGTCTGTGTGGCATATTGAGAAATAACACTGTTCGCGTGGCATTTAGGTAAAAAAGTCGGTGAACAGTGGCATTTTGGTCACTGTCCCGAATATACCCTCAATTATATATATATATATATATATATATATATATATATATATATATATATATATATATATATATATATATAAGGTTAGATCTTTTGACACCGTACAAAGATGGATCAATGGTAATGAAAGAAGAGAGAGAGAAAAGGAATCATCACCATTCAAAGGTGAATCAATTAATATAAGAAAATAAATAAACAAAACGACGTGGTTTTGGAGTGGCCGGAGATAAACTTATCTCAAGTTACCGGGGAAATATTTTTCCATATATATATATATATATGGGGCAGGATATTCTTACACTAGTGTAAGAGTTAGAAGTCTTACACTCAATCTTGACCATTGATCCACTTAAATCCAATGGCTCACATTACTAAAAAATTTGAGCTCTTAGATATAAATGAGATCAGTGGACAAGATTAAGAGTGAAACTTACACTGGTGTAAAATGATCATAACCCTATATATATATGGGCTTATCGTTTCTCAAGCTGCTTGAGATAATATTATCTCCGGCTAGTAAATCATAACCGTATAAAGATGGATCAATGGTGATAAAAGAAGAGAAAGAAAAAAGGAATCATAACCATTCAAAGGTGAATCAATTAATATAAGGAAATAAATAAATAAAACAACGTAGTTTTGGGATAGTCGGAGATGAACTTATCTCAAGCTGCTTGAGAAATATTTTTCCCTATCCTAAAACTACGTCGTTTTATTTATTTATTTCCTTATATTAATTGATTCACCTTTGAATGGTTATGATTTCACTTTTCTCTCTTTTCCTTTATCACCATTGATCCATCTTTGTACGGTTATGATTTAGTAGCCGGAGATAAGATTATCTCAAGCAGCTTGAGAAACGATAAACCTATATATATATATATATATGGGCTTAACATTTCTGCAGCAGCCGTAGATAGTGTTATCTACAGCTGACACAGAAAAGTGGGCCCCACGGCTTCTTTAAAAAAAAAAAAAAAAACTCAAGATTCGTTGTTGTATCCTAAGATTCGGACGTGTATCCTTGCTTGCTGTAGGTACAGCAGCTGCAGAAATCATTTTGCCATATATATATATATATATATATATATATATATATATATATATATATAGCTTAACATTTCTGCAGCAGCCGTAGATAGTGTTATCTACAGCTGACACAGAAAAGTGGGCCCCACGGCTTCTTAAAAAAAAAAAAATTCAGTATCCGTTGCCGTATCCTAAGATTTGGGTGTGTATCCTTGCTTGCTGTAGGTACAGTAGCTGCAGAAATCATTTTGCCATATATATATATATATATATATATATATATATATATATATATGCACTTGAATTTAACTTTACAGCGGTGCAAAACCAATCTTATCTGTGTTTATTGGGTGATGTCTATGGTGCCTAACTTTGTTTTGTCGCTTCTATGCCAAAACTAACCATTGTAACAAACTAATCACCAATTGTTATGTTATTTTATTATGATAATTTTATGTGGTGAGTTAGGTTGGTGCTTGCAGGTACTTTGATATTGATTAATTTAGCAACGTTTCAAGTATAATTAATTAAACATAATAAATAATGTTTCAAATTTTTTGAAAATTAGTCACGCTTTAGATGTAGCTATATAGTCATAACTATTTTGGCACCAGCTGAAATTTTTTACACTGACTAAAATATTTTGTTGGCTCTGCCACTAATAATCTTGGAGCAAATATAATGAAGGGAATATTATAGGGCAATCAACTTTTGTTCCTATTATTACAAGTTGGGAGTTTTGTATTGAAAATTTAAGTGTGAACGATAACAAAATTCCGTATCAAAAATTAATGGGCTAAGTATAATAAATATAATGAAAGAATTTATAAATTTAATATTTTAAAATTTTAAATTGAGATGCAGTGTCACTGTATTAAACCATCCCATGGTAATAGCATGTTCTTACAAATTTTCTTGAAGATATGTGATTTTTTTTATGGGAAAAATGTTTCTGTAGTTAATGCAGATAAGTTATCTGCATTTATTCCCAAAATGACGTAGTTTTGGTATTGAAATCTTAAAAAATTATAAGTATAAAGATTATTGTAACCCTAAAATAAATTCAAATTACAAAAACATTATGATTTTCGCCCCAAAATGACGTTGTATTGGGCTTACTGCAAATAACTTATCTGCAGTAACTGCAGAAAAAGCGAACCCTTTTTTTATTTATAATAATGCAGCTTTGTTTAATTCTAAATTACAAGAACATATATGAAATGGTAATAGTTTTCTTATGTAGTAGGAGATAATACGTATTATCTTCTACAGACTCATTTGTTCAGATAAGATCCACTTTTAGGGGAGAGAAAAAAATAAATAAAGTGAGATCCATATTAAATTTATGTGTGTTGGAGATAGATTCTATCTTATGTAACACAAAAATAATAAATCTCTAATAGATAAATTGTAACTATTGATGAGAGTCATTATTGTCAATGCCGTAGTAACTAGCGTAAATATTAGGAGAACCTGACACAGGTTTTACGCTTCTAGATGTCCCAAATAAATAATGTTTTAGTGGAAATTTAAGCACAAGTCTTACTAGAATGCAGCAAATGTTGACGGCGAGAGTGCATGCGTCTTAACAAGTAAAACAAGTGATGAGTGATTACCAAAAAAAAAAAAAACAAGTGATGAGTTGCGATATTATTTCTTTAATAATTATTTTAATTATGTGTCATTATTTCTTAATTTTTATTTAAGTAACAAATAATAGCAAAAAAAATTAAAAAAGAAAAAAATATTGTCATTTTGAAGGATACAACTTTGTGTTATTTTATTGTAACAACTATGATGGTAGCCCATTACGGATACGGACACGGACACAGGACACGACATGACACGACACGACACCCCGACACGTTAATTCTAAAAAATGTTAAATTTTGACACGTTGGAACACGTTTTGATATTAAATAATATTTTTAATATATATAATATAATTTATATTTAATACATATAGCAACTCATAATAACTCATATACTAATCAAATATTTAAATTTCATAATATAATTATTAAAATAAAATAGAACATCCCAAGAGTGTAGAGTGTAGAGTGTAGAAAAATAGAAAAAATTCAACTACTTTCTACTAACTTTCATCTTAGCAACCGACATGCTTTTCTTCCAACTTGTCTTTCTTTTTCATTAAATTATTTGTTTAATCTTTTTCTTCTTTTGACCATTTCTTTCAAGAACTCTTTGATATGGCGGTCTGGTTGCTTCTTTCATTTTCTATTGGTGTGTAACCCATATATCT